CCATCGTGACCAATTTAGAGCGTCCGAGCTGATCGAACTACACTCACTAGACATGACATGAAAATGCGCCAAATCTTCTCTGGGAATTGACAACAAGCTTAGCGACCAACAGACACAACGCTCCGGATGAAAACCCACTGCCCCGGTTCCAAACCCGCGTCCATCCGCAGCGCCGTGTGCGTTCACGCGCTCGCGATGGCCTCGCCCACCGCGGACGAGAGCCCCTTGAGAGAGAACCTTGTGTCAAGTTTACCGTCTTCCGTTGGCCAGGTGTACAGCAGGTAGATGCCGTTGGTTGTCGTCCGGGCTGGACAGGACGACAGGGCGTGCTGCGCGTTCGGGGCAAAGCACGCGTCCACCTCGGAGTGCAAGTCGTTCTGGTGCCCGATGAACACCTGGATCTGTAGTTGCAGGTCGTAGCAAGCGGGGCGCGCAGGCAGTGCGGAAAGGTGTAGGGAAGAGTCACGGCGAGGGCGGGGTGGGAAGAAGAGCATAAAAGAAAGTTGCGGCGCAGTAATTGCCATCAGGATTGTCCATGAAAAATCCTTGTTGCCGTGATGAGGTTCCTGTCCCTGTTGTCCAGCGGTATTCGTCGAACGGTTGCAGGGGGCCGAATAGACAAGCAGGTTCTGAGGTTCTACTACCACAGCAGGAGCGTGAAACAAGAACAGGGTGAGGCCAAGGCCAAGCCTTACCTTGCATGTGCTGCGGCGTGGCAGTCTCGTACCTCATGAACGATACACCCAGCTCTCAACGCCCGCCAAGCGAGGGTTGCATGGCACGGAATCGGGAATAAACCCCTAGGAACGAAGGAACCTGAGCGGTAAGACGCAGTAGGAAGTCATTTCATCACACCCACAACCAAAGGATCCACAACAACAAAGAATTGTCAGTCGCAACCCTTTGACGCGGCCCCGGACGATTTAGAGCTAGAGCTGTATTGAAGGGGGCGGGAGTGAAGGGTAGGTCAAACTACGGGCGACAGGAAAGCGAGAGAATGGAAACCAAATGAAACAACAAGCGCGCGACGATGGCCAGTATGGCTACCGTTTCGCTCCAAGGTACCGTTCTCAGTGTCACGGCACACCTTCTTTCGCTCTGTTAAAAACAACCCAACCAAACAGAACGCAAATCGTACGAACAGGAAATAGACGGGGCAGATACACGGATAGCACAGGTCGGGCTGTCGTGTCCATCACCTCCTGTAAAATCGACAGACAACATCGGTTGCAAAGCGAGTGTCAGCAAGCGTTAACCCTAGCATGGCGAGCAAACAACCGACCGCACTCAATATCTGTTGGGTGACACGCAACGGCATGTGCTCCGTCGACAAACAAGGGAGCAGCAGCAGCAGCATCAACAACAACAACAAAGAGAGGACCATATTTTAATCCCCACCTGCGAGGCCGGCAACAACGCATTCACGATTGCAAAATAACATTCACAGCCACCACAAAACTTTCATTCATACGCACTGAAAAACAAACTGGTCGTCGCTGCTACTCACCTCATGGCCTCGAAGTAGCGACCGCTCTTCATCCGTGGCCTCTCGCGCAGTTCGATGCCGCCATCCACCAAGCAATGGGAGACCTGCGGAGTGTGCTGCGGTCGGCCAAGTGTTGTCGGTCAAGCGGCCAAGAGTCGGAGGAGGGCGGCGGGGTGTTCCAAGACGTCAAAATTCTCGATAAAATCAAAGCACAAGAATGTGAACTCTTCGTCGACAGAGAAAATATCCGAAGGTACCGCACAAAGGCAAACAGACAATTATCCAAAAATCACACACACGAACGCTATGACCTCTTCTGGAACTCGAAGGCATTGGTCCACTGTCTGTTGCCACCAAGCAGGGCAATATACTTTTTGCCGTTTCATAATCCCCTTCGAACGTGGTATACATTCTCAAACGGGTACCGTGGTCTTTCTTCGATTGCATGTGTACTTTCTACAAGACTTGAAAAGAGACAAACAATACGTTACCAAATCAGATCGTTACCAAATGAGACCGATTTCGGCCGCTGCTGTCATCGCGTCGGCAGGGCGTTTTTCTAGCCGCAGGGGCGACGATGGCCAACCTGGAGATCTACTTCTACAACTCAAGCCACTCTGAATGCAGCACGGAAATAGCGTACGGGTTTGTCTGGTAACGGTCTTTCCTCGCTCAAGAAACCCCGCCATGCTCCGGACTTGTCCCTCTGCATTGTGCCGCTCGATGGACAACTGGTCGCACCCACTTGTCGCCGTGCTGCCACGGCTTCAACGCTGGACGAGGATCTGCAGTCGTGGGAAAAAGTAACGGGGAAAGTGAGCGTTTGGCACAACGAGTGTCAGCAGCCTGCGTGCTGCTCTTCCCATTTCAACTTGTCGGTCTTGGGATGAGCAGCACGCAGGCTGCTGACACTCGTTGCACCAAACGCCCACCGTCCCCGTTACTTTTTCCCACGACTAAAGATCACGTCCAGCGCAAAAGCCGCGGCAGCCCGGCGACAAGTCGAAGCGACCAGTTCCCCGCCGAGCGGCACAATGCACAGGGAAAAGTCGAGAGCCCGGCGGGGCGCTCGGGGTGAGGTAAGATCGGTACCAGATAAACCTGTACGTTGTTTTCCTCTCTGCATTCAGAGTGTCTTGAGTTGTAGATCTCCAGTTTGGCCACCGTCCCTCTCCAGGAAACTTTCAAGTATTGTGTTTCCGGGTCATCAAGTACAGTCCGACATCTAACAGTGTCCCTGTACCAGCAGGAACTTTCTTTCATTCCAATCACCCACTCTTCTTTGGGGTGTGTGCCTCTGACCACACACTTAATTTCTTACTTTTGTCGTTTCTTGGCCTTCAAGAGAATGCACGCGGAGGTCTTGCATAGACATGAACATAGTTTCTTGCGTCAAGACAGCATCATCATCACCAACAACAACGACGATAGAAGCGCTAGCATTGAAGATTTAAGGCAATGCAACGCACCCCAAAAGTCGGTGTGGAGCGCTCATCCATCAAGAGTGTGAATGGTTGAAAGAGGGATAGAACCGGTGAGCGTCATGTCCAGGGCTTCATGAACATTTCGAAAGCAACGCCATGAGCTATGCATGACTCACCCCCATGCACCTGTCGACACTGGTTCCAGTTCGTCGTCCAGAGTTATCGTTTTTCATCATTGCGAGAGCACGGTCTGTGTCCCTGTCGGCCCGGTTCCTTCGCCGGAACCACTCCACCACGGGCACACCAAGAACAGGCTGACAGGACAGACGTCGGCTTCCTGTCAGCAAGAACAGGCTAGCAGAAAGCCGACATCTGTCTCGTCAGCCTGTTCTTCATGTGCCCATGGAACTTCGGTTTCGGCGAAGGAGCCGGGCCGACAGGGACACACCCCGTGCTCTCGTCGTGGTGAAAGACGACAACACTGGACGACGAACTGCAACCAGTGTCGACAGGTGCAGGGATGGGCGGGGCGCGGGCAGGGCGGGACAAGGGTCACAGCTCGTTTGTAGCAACGACATGAGCGCGAGTACTACTATTTTTTCTCAGAATGAGTCAACACTGTTTTTCAACGTGGACACTAAACCACCCCGACAAGATGCCTCACGCTTCGAAAGCCAATGCACGTACAGTAGGTGGCCCAATATGGTGGCATGTAGGGGCAAGAGGAGAAAATGCCACTATTCAGGGCAGTGCCACTATTCGATATATCGGGTTCAGTATCTTGTAAATGTTGAGATTGTGACAAGAGACTGTGGTGCCACCATATCGGCAGTTCCACTATTCAAGTTGCCACGATATCGAACCACCTACTGTATGGGAAAAATACAAACAAAACGAAAGTTACAGGCAGGAAAAGCGAGTCATCTGAGACGATTTCCGTACAATCAAAATGTTCAAAGTGTTTACGGATATCATAGTCATAGCGAACACCTGTTTATTCGGAGCAGAAATGCCGGCGTTCTGCAATTGCTGCGCACTGCGCTTTACTGACACTAACATTAAGGAGTTATTTTCTATAATCAGAGAAACACGACAACCAACCCAGCTGTGATGAAACAGTGCAAGGAGGAGGCCACACGTTCCACCTCATGAAACGATGGGCGAACCCACGCCACCGCAAAGCCCAACACAGCATGGGTGACCGCCGACGAGACGCAGACGCTAGGCTAGTATTCACATCACCTCAGTTCGACACGATGTCAGCTTCCCCAAAATGGCACCACACTCAAACGAACACAACATTGTGAAGGTAAAATAAGCAGCACAGCGACATACAGCAACAGAGGGACACAAGCGCTTGGACGAGCACACCACATGTGTACACTTCGGCGAGTGGCTTACACTATTCTAAGAGCAGCGCCACGCTGAACACCACCAGACACCATTGTTGATGGACAGGGTCCGAGTATATGTAATGCTCGCACACCCACTCAGTAGTTGGTTGGAAGGGTCAGGGTCGCTACAGTATTTCAAAACATCGTAACTGCCCAAGGACAAGTACGTGGATACCGGGGGCGCCACGTTGCTCGTCTTCTACACGCATGTTTTTCAAAGCACGGACGGGGATTGCCCCGGAGGCATCAGCTGAGTTGTACGCGTAGCACGCACTACCAATCGAAAACATACAACATGGATGCGAAAGCTTTGGGAGTACAGAAGTACCGCAGGGTAGAGACAACAGGTAGTTGGGTGATGGCGTGTAAGCAAATCGCATCGTTCCCCTTCCGTCTTTTCCGTTACGCAGAGTGTAGGAACCTTGAGAGACAACTCAAGGTATGTCCCTATCTTTCCCTCACGCTCACACTACAGTGCATCCCACGCGCGTGCCCCACCCGTACCTTGCGAAACTTGTGCGGAAGAAAGAACGTTGACAATCACAGGGGCATGGAGCGTTCGCCAGAAGGGAATCGCGGCCCAGGAGGTAATGACCGAGTTCCAGGGCGAGGGTATCGACTCTGCCGAGGCACAGCACAGTAAAATCGATGGCCTCGCCCTCGAGCTCCGCTGCCACCTCCTGGGCCCCGATGGCCTCAGTGGTGAAAACCCCAACCCCCTGTGATTGCCAACGATAACATTTCTACAAACACGTCGAGAGGCGCGGGTAGTGCAAGCTCAAGAAACGATTCCGCTTTGAAGTACATACCGGAATCTGAACCGCGTATTTAACGTGTCTTTCCACGCGTCCAAACCCGATCCGCACGTCAGGCCGCGACCCGAACAAAATGGGTCAGGTCACGGTTCAGTCGGAACAACCAGTCAACAGTTCTTCCCCGACTCGCGCGGTTTCCCTTCATGATGAAACCCACGGTTCATGCCTGACGATTCCTGAAAACCAAATACAAGACAGCAGCAGCTGCTCGGCAGACGCCCGGTTCATCTCTCCAACACCACCAGTGCTACAACGACATGATATAGACGACTCAACAAATCCTCAACAAATCCTTGGTGCATTATTCCAGATCAGCCGCTTGATCTATTCAATGGATACCATCTGCTGACAACAGAAAACTTACCGGCTTGCCGCCGGACGAGTTGAGGAGGAAATCTTTGCCCAGAACGGCCGAGTGCAGGGCCACCACTGCCTGGTTCGGCAGGCGCACGAGGGGAGGACGAGGGGCAAGCAAGGCCGCGCGGCGAGGGGATTGTGGGGACGGGATACGCCGTCTTCTACAAGGCTGCTTCCGCTGAGGCGCCTGCCCCTTCCTACTTGGGAAAGCAACGTTTAGAAATAAGTTGCTGTTTTCAACTCCCAGGGCGGCAGGTTCATCGGACCTCATCGGGAGATGGACGTAAAGGGTATCATCAGTTTACCGCTACACGACGACGCAAAACAAGACGGCCACAGGATATGGCGGCGGGCGGCTCCTTGACCCCCACCTGATCGTGGTGAGTGCAGCGGATCACCCAGCATAACTCTTAGTGTGTTAGTATGTAGCTATTCTGTGGCAACCCTCCACGGCGTTGGTAAGAGTCGAGGCCGCGCGCGAAGCAAGCAAAGGAATGCGCTGCTGTTGGTCAAATGCCGCCGTGTAGGAATGGAGACGAGAAGGAAGGCTTGGTTCAACGTCATGGGTGCTGGGGAGAGGTAGCCTCGACAGCAGTGTGCGCCAAATTTTTATTGTTTCAGAGTACAGTAGCACCACAAACCCCTGTGGATGGGATCTTCCAAGCTCGATCCATCCCTAGATAGTCGCACCAGAAAGTTGGTTCCAGTCCTATGCATACGTGAGGTCATGTTTTGGAAAGCTACGCAGAACATGAATCAAACGTCGCGCTTTTCTACATGCACCCGCGGAGGAGAAGAGGAATACTCGGAAAGCCGGCCTTGCGAGTTCGTTGTAAGGTGGTATTGTATGATAATACGCAGAACACGGATGGTGAACACCAGGAGCAACAGCAGCCCATGTGTGTAGTCTGAAGAGCATTCCTACACGTGGATCTTGCCACGGGTAAATGGAGTAGTTTTGGATCCCTGCCACACTATGTAGGCCGCAGCGTGAAACATCTGAATCTACCATTCGAGGCCGAGGGGTTGCAGCAACGGCGGCCGTGCCTTCTCGACCAGGTATCACCAGGCTATCCACGTACATCTGGTTTATATAGCAGTTGAATCATGTGGTACATGTAAACGTGGACATGTTGCACCCGACCCGCCCAGGAGGCAAAATAATGTGGTGAATGGATTCACAAATGCGAAGCTGGCACTCACTTATCGCTGCCTCAAGGTGGATCCCCATAGATGTCCATCCAGGAAACAACGTTGCGACCCTGAAACGTCTGCCCCATGGCCGTCCACAGGACTTAGAAGACTCCGTTACGCTCGTTCGTTGCCCCTGCCGGCTCTCTCTCTGCAGGAGAGCCGGTGTCGTGATCTTCCCCAGTCATTCTCGCCAAGAACAGAAACATGGATTCTTCGCCCGAAGGATACCATACCCTGGTGAACCTTGCCTAGATGGTCAGGCTGTGACAGACCTCTGACTAGTCTAGACCTCTGTCAAGGGCAGCAGGCAGAGAGGGGCAGGTGTGACAGGAGTGCATGATATCCTCAGGGGAGACGCGAATCGCTCTTTGGCGTTATGTGCAATCATCATTGCGGAGCCCCCTGCCTCGAAAGACAAAAGACATGCCGCAACCAACCTGCAACACACTCTGCTGTCTGTGCCACACAGCACGACAGAGACGAACACAGCGGTGAGTGACCAGAGAGAGAGAGAGAGAGAGAGAGAGAGAGAGAGAGAGAGAGAACGAGAGGAAGACCAAGCTGTGCCTGTGTGTGTTGGTGTGCGAAGGACCTCAACCCCCAACGAGCGCAAAGAATGGAGCAAGCTCAGGGTGAGGTCGAGGACAAGAGCAAGGCGACAACAGCAGGGACAGCCTCGCCATCAATACAGCAGGCTCCCACAGCAGCAGACACACAGCAGAGCGCTTCAGCAGGAGCAAGAGAAGAAGAAAATAAATCGCCAAGCAAGGACGAAGCGAAAGGGGACGACGAAGGTGGTGACGCCGCTGGGATGTGGATGTATCTGGACGGAGCCAATCCCACACAGCACGGGCCGTTGACGGAGAGTCTCATGCTCAAGCTCCTGAGGATCGGGACAGCCCACAAAGATATGATGGCGTGGTCGCAGGGCATGTCTGAGTGGCAGCCGCTCGCACAGGTGGGTCTCAGCCCAGGAGCATCTCGTCTGAACGGGATTCTTTATTTATTACTTTGTTTTTGGGTGTGCTGTTGACGTTGTACAGCAATATACGGTAGTCTATGCACATTATTATAAATAGTCTATCGCTCCGATCTTGCTGTGCGAGACTATAAGGCACAGGCTCTTTGTTCCGGAACCTACTGCTGTACCTCGCCTTCTCCAATCCTGCTCGCCGACCAAAATGCATACCCGTACCGACGTAACACTGCTGCTGTACGATACTGCAGCAGCCATACCTCGTGCCTAACTGGTCGTCTGGCTGCGTTAGTTTTTCTGGGCTATTTCCTGCTGTGTAGACTATCTGTCCTGCGGCCCTGTTTGGCAAAACCACAAACGTCCCATGAGTTCCACATAGATCCGGAATTCCGGCTGACTGCCAGGGACGCCGTCGACAACACCTTTTCCAGGCCCCGAAGGATGTTCGGTTGATTCGTCGCGCCTCTCCAGTACAGTGGTGGCTATAGTTTAAGAGAGGGTCGTGATAAGCCAGTATTTCTCTCTTGAATCCGGTTTTCTCTTAAACCGTACTGCTGTGAAATGTATGAATTTCTCATGGTCGTGACAAGCCAGTTTGAATCTCTTAAATCGGTACTTTCTCTTAAAATAGTCTCTTTTTTAAACCGTAGCCGCCACTGTAGCGAATTGACCGAAATTGACGCAGAGGGTTCGCGACTGGTGTGGCGACTTCACTACGCCTACAGTCTGGATCCCTGTATGCATACAAATAGATCGAGGCGCTACCCTGGTCTGCCGTGTCTTGTCGGTATAGATACCCAGCCCCACCTGTCTTTTTACCCGTTCACAACCCATAAACGCCGTACACTTAGATGAACACATTTCCTCATAATTTATTCAACGTCCTTATCGCTTGTCGTTCTTTCGCAGATCGAGGCATTCCGAGAAACCAGCGAACTCGCCGCTACCCCGTGGCTCTACCTGGGAGAGAACTCGGAACAACGAGGGTGAGAAAATTATTAAATTGTTGTTGTCCCAGCAGGCCATGTCTTCTGCAGTTCGATTATGTGAAACCTTCTACGGGTGCCACAACAGCGTGGTAGGAGCCATGCAGCTCGAGCCAGCGTCAAGCTCAAGAGCTAGTCATTCGCATTCAACAACGGGAGCTCGCTCGATGGTGACCCTCAATGGCACTTAGTCGTAGACCGCAGGCAGTGGGCTGGAGGCCCTCCGATCCAACCTGTACAGAATGACACCTACAGTACATCAAGTGTTCCCCTTTCAGCTCGTTTTTCCTTCTCCAAGGAAGCTCAACGCACAGAGGGGGGCTTATCCAAATCGACCCGAATCGGCACTGGAGTCGAACAGGCAGGGGTTTTTACGCCGGGTATTTCGTCGGGCTTACTAATGGTTGATTGTTTCTACCGCGTTCGTCTGCCGTTCACCAGCAGTGGCTGTCATTTGATCTTCACAACAATCTCACTCGCCCATGTTTGTTCTACCACGTTTGTTCCACCGCCTTTATAGATACATGCATCGACCTCTATTGTTTCATGTCATGTGCTTCCTCCGTTGCCTCGTGTATTTCTCGTCACCCCTGGTTTCGTTTGCTTACATCTACCGCACCCGTGTGCCGTTGCGGGGTGCCTTTTTCTCAGGCCGGTAAGCGCCGCCGCTCTGTCGCGGCTGCTTCGACAGGGGGAGGTGGACGGGATGACCATGGCCTGGACCACGGGAATGGGAGACTGGAAGCCCCTTGGCGAGGTAAGCCGCATTTTGTACGTTAAGAGCGTTCGGCACACGGCAGAGGGACCTCCCCCGCGCCGCGTAGCGAATTCTTGATCTTGCTGACGGAGCTCTACAACCCTGTGTCGTTTTCGGTTCTATGCATAGACGTCTTCAAGCACGTTCAGTGGGAAAGAGCATTCAAGTGCGCGGCTATGCATGGTACAGAAGCACAGGCAACTAAGGTATAAAGATTGCAGTTCGTTTCTCTCGACCTTAAATGGCCACCTTTGTTGGTTGCGGGCCGATCGACTATGCGACCTTTGCAGGTATCGGAGTTGCGGCCACTGTTGCAAGATGGGGATGACGAAGAGGAGGAAGAGGAAGGGATGGGGACGGACGACGCTCCCGAGAAGATGATGGTCTTCGAGGCAGACGATGAGGCGCAGCCCGCATATGAGCCGCCTCCGAAAAAGGAGGTGAGAGTGGCTGACTCGCCGTTTCGGCATGCTGGTGAACTTTGGCGGCTGTTCGGTTGTTTTCTCGAGAGCACTGATGTCAGCAGGTTCAGTGACACCGTACACGCTGTGAAGAGTAGAGGGCTTGGACAGCTTGTTGTGAAATTTGTATTCTCACGGATTCGAACGAAGCGCGCGTGTGTGTGTTTGCGGTCTGTTGTGCTGGTGTTGGCATTGTTGCACATACCGTCGGCGGGAAGCAAGAAAGCGGCGCGATGAAACCGCCGCAGCTCGTCCCGGTGAAGGGGCATGCGGTTTGTTCGTGTTGTCGTTGTGGACGGTGCCCCCTAACGTTTGCTTGTTAACAGACTGACGCACAAACTTGGTGGTGCACGCTGTTGTCGTCGCGTGGTAACGGTGGCAGAGCAAGCGGAGCTTCATGGCTGACGACGGTACCAAGTTTGCTTGGGACGAGGAGAAGGGGGACTGGAAGGAGGTAGAGGGAGATGAGGAGGAGGAGTTAGAGGAAGAGGAAGAGGTGAGCTTGTTGTTTGCTTGTTGCTGAAGATGTTGATTTGGCGTTTGGCGTTTGGCGTTGTTTGTTGCCGTTGTTGTTGATGCTGCTGCTGCTGTCGTCGCTGGCTTGTGCAATGCGTATGATGGTTGTCCCATCTTGGCGTGTCATTCCCCTTGCCCTCTCCGTCGTGCTTACGTGGTCGCAGTGTCGTGGTATGCTACACTGTACGCAGTTTGGCTCCGCAGACCGCTCCGAAAACTCCTCAGCACGGACACCCTCGAGTTCCCCAACAGCGTCTACCCCCGTGGAACCCATCCTAAGCAACCCTCGCTCCTCCATTGTTGCTTTTTGCAGGAGGAAGAACCTTGGAAAATTCGAAGAGCCAAGCAGCAGGCCAAGCTCAAAGCCAAATCCAAGGAGGACAAGAAGGCCAACAGGGACGCCGCCGCCGGCCAGAAGGGTGGTACGGGGGCCGCCGTAGCGGCAGGCGGTGATGACGATCCCGACACGGCGCACTGGGGGGAGTTGCTAGAGGATGCCAAGAGGGAGGCCGAGGGGGCGGGGGGGGGGGGAGAGAAGGCGGGTGGTGCGGGAGAGAGTAGTGATAACACTAGCGAAGCGGCGCAACAGAAGAAGGCCAAGAAAAAGAACAAGAAGAAGCGAGGGCTCCAGTGGAACAAGAAGGCCACTAATCTCTGGGTCTACGTAAAGGGTGAGAGCATGGCCGTTGTAGTGGTGTTGATGGCCATCTGTACTGTTCTTGTTGTGGTTTCTGCAGTTCCGTTCGATGTTGGGGTTTTGGAAAACCGATGATTATTGTACCTTGGTCAAATTTGAACCGGCGCGAATCTTGTAACCGTGTGCCTTTGGATCTTCTGTCGTCCTGCTCACGAAAAAGTGTTGACGTTCAGGCCTCCGCGACCTCAGTGTCTCAGCGCCTTGTGCATGCCTTCGCGCGTAGCTGTATGAGTCAAATAGTCGAGTTAGTGGTAGGCGGGTGACCATCGCCGTTTGACTTGTGGTTCACTCACTATCGCGGGACAACAGGCCGTTTCCTGTCCTTCAAGTCGTGGAAGTGCAATGTACGGGTGTGTCCAGGAACATGGTCAAGTGTCTCTGATTGTACAGTAGTCAGCAATGACGTCAGATTTATCCGGGGATGTGATCTCGTGTATTGGTGTCCGTGTGGGCATAGTTCAAGTCCGCCTGAACGTGCCTTTTTTGTTTTTTGGCCTGGTTTCCTGATGCTTCTGCTGTTGTTGTTGTTGCGTCTGTTGCAGGTCTTCCGGTGGACATAGAGGTTGAGGAGGTCAGGGAGCACTTCAGCAAGTGCGGCATCATCGCTACGGACCCCCTAACACAACAACCCAAGATCAAGATTTACAAGTGAGACAGACTAACGTTTATACATTGATAAGTGAGGTCGATATGCGGTCGGAATAGACGTGCTAGCAATGTTGAGATTCGAAGAGTAAGATAGGTATTTACACGCAAAGCGAGGCAGCTCGGCTGATAGTTTTGCGGCACGTGCAACGCCCGTTCTGGTAGACCTGAATTCGCGTTGTATTTAGTATGGCGCCACTTGCCTCTAGTTTTCGCGAACAAACCGCGCTTCCTATAGTGCTTGCACTGTAATTGTCTCGGTAGTATTGTGAAGGCAAAGATGAGACTAAAGACTCACCCAACCCACCGTACAAGTTTTGGAAATGTTGTGTCCTAGCACCAACCGCTGTTGTGGTGTGCTAACACTTATACTCTTGACGGCAACGGTATTAACCGTTCTCCTATTCATGCATATGCACACGTGATACGTTTTACTTGTGTCGTATGGTTACCCGGCGAACGTGATGGTGTGGCATACCCGTCACACACGCCTGTGGCATTTCTTTCGGGTTTCGAGCAGGCACGGGCAAAATCACCCCCATCCCCCATCACATTACAATGGCGGCCATCGCTTGCTTCGTCAAGCAACAGCTGTAGTTTGGCATCGCGTCGATTCACAAGGCCTCTACCTGGCTGATCGGTTGACGCCTTGGCTTGTCTTGATGCATATATGCCGGGCGGGCGGCCGTGCTGGTACAACCTGGCGGGGGTTGGCCACTCGTGCTGTCACCGTAGTAACCGTGTTTTGTTGTTTTTTGTTTTTGTTGGTCAGGGACGACGAGGGACACCCAAAGGGCGACGGCAGCGTCTGCTACGCCAAGGCAGAGTCGGTGGAGATGGCCATCAACGTGTTACACGAGGGACAGCTGAGGCCGGGAGTGACCATCGAGGTGCGTGGCTCCACGTGTCCCATCCCCATCAAGTGGGGTCGTTTCCCTGCCGTGGTAGACGTCGCACTGACGACGAGACGAGGGCTGACTTCACCACTGTACTCCTGCTGCCCTGCTGCAGCACCCCCCTATGTTGCGTGGTATACTACCGGGCTGAAGAATGGCTGGCCCGCTCGGGGTGGAGGGAGCTTTTGTGCAGACTGCCGTTGCTGTGTGATTCTTGTGCTTAATAGGAACAACAGTGGGGTCTGCGGGAGGGAGTATGCGAAATTGCTCTTGGAGCCATACGGTGAGGTCAGAGATGAAAGGCTTTTGGCTGACCTACCACTGAAACATTGACGGATTTTCTTCTGGGTTAGCTCTTCTTCGTGTTCTTCCTTCCACAACTCGCACAGTGCTCTCCTGAGCGCTCTATGTCTCTCCTGTTCATTTTTTTGTTGCCACACACTCTCTGTCGCTTTTAACTGCTTTCAATCGGGCGTGTTCGTTTATCTTTGTGGAACATCTGCTACTTGTATACCCAGGTGTCGAAGGCTGTCTTCCAGCAAAAGGGGCAAAGCTTCGACAACACCAAGCGGCTCAAGGTCAACGACGCCCGTGTTAAGGTGGGGTATGGCGCGGCAAATATTTTGTGTGTTGTCCAGCTGTTGTTATTTCACGCCATCAAATAGCCCAAACTCTTGGATCTGTGGCCACATCGAACCCAACAGGGGGAAAGCCGAAACAGGATTGTTCCCGGTGACGTCCAGTGACACTGATAACAGTGTCATTCCTGTGTGACCAGCTTGTGTTCAATGGACTGCCTCTTGAGCCTTTACTGTAGATCCAAGTCAAGCGTGCCTCAAACGAAGTTCTGTGTCGATATCGACTTCGTGTATGTAGTACATCATGTGTTTCCCGATGGTTTTGAGGTTGTCACTCAGGCGGGAGTTCTCGCGCTGAATGTCACGGAGATGCGCCTCTTTTGACCCAACAACCGAAGTAAATTTACGTTTTACCTACACGGGGGCGAGGCGGGAGTGGCACGTTGCACGTTGCGATATCGCCGTATAGGGCGTGCGGCGCTAGAGCCAAGAACGTGGAGAACTGTACCTGTGTGATTGGGGAGACTCGGTTGGGACGGGGATTGGGATGTGTACGGTATCCCGCGGTTTGTTATTTTGTGTGTACCAGCGTGATGTACCAGGCTCAGCGGACAGGTTTTTGCCCCGGTGTTTGCTCACTGTTATTCCTGGCTATGAGAAATGCGGCGCACATGTCAAGTTCGCCACCTATGCTCAGTTGGACCGCACTAAATAGCTGTTCGAGAGGGAACAGGACTGACCGTTCCCTTTCCCTCCGGGACCCGATCTTTCGTTCTGTGGTGTGGGCCTTTTTTTTTATTCATGGTTTCTCTGCAGGTGGCAAGAGCGGCGGCGGAGCAGGCCTTGTCGTGGGCGGAGAACGACGACACGGGCGCAACAAAGGGGGGGCTTAAGATCGTCGTCGTGGAGAACATGTTCCATCCGTCAGACTTCGAGGTTAGTACTTGGTGATTCAATCGCACCCTTTGGTAATGCCTAGGACAAGACCTTCCGCCCCCCCCACCCCCCCCCACCACCCCCGTCGAAGAGCCACAACTTTAGAGCCTGGTTCATTGCGGTTGTACACGCCTTGTGTCCACCCGAGCATGTAAGCCGCTATTCCAGTGCAACATAGAGTTGGGTGTGTGCGGAACGTACAAAAGTGATTAGACTAGTGGGGGAGCTATGTGGCACCATCTCGTTACCAAGAAAGTTTGCGTGGACACAAGGCGTTGCTGCTCTCTTGATATGCGAGCACCAAGTGCGAACCGGAAAAGCGAAATCGGGGTCCTCGCAGAAGGCCCACATCCTCCCATGTAAATGATTCGGGGGGGGAATCCTGTGACCGTGGTAGAACCCACGAGGGAGCCTCCTCAGCGCTACCGTGCCTAACAGATTGACCCAACTGTCGGTTTATGGCCTATATACTGTACGCAGCACGAAAGACGGATTACCGTAGGTGGCAGGTCAGAGACACCACTGGACCGGATGTTGGACCCCCAACGTCATTAGTTTTTGTTCACCAGTGCGGATGGTACTTGCTCTTTTTTTGGCATTTTGGCGTAGAGTTTGGTTTCCCTCCACCGCTGCACCAAACTTTGGCCCACCGTTCAACTCTTTTTTTTTGGGGTGGGGGGAGGTAGCCACCTTTCGATGGAAGAGCAGGTCCACGAATTTGCTAGATTCGTCTTGATGTTGGTTCGGTGCTCCAAGTCCTCTTCTCGCGGGTATGTTTCGCTCCGGCTTTTCCGTTCCGTTCCGTTCCGTTCCGTCGTCGTCGTCGCTCGACTTGCGCAGGCAAACGAGAGGTTTGGCGAAGAGCTGGAGGCCGACCTGCTGGCGGAGGGCGAGAAGCTCGGACCCGTGGAGAAGATCACGGTGTTCGCCAAGAACAACAAGGGGCCCGTGGTAGTCAAGGTGGGAGTCACTCGGAAATGGCTCGTGTCCTCAGGCGCTCGTTGTGGATGACTTAACATCTGCTCCCCCCCCCCCAACTTTGTCGAATCCACGTCGCCCCGCGGTAATGGACCCTTGTTTTCGCGTTGAGAATGGTTCCGCCTCGATTGCCTCGATGCAGAACTTTCTCTTTCCCCGCTCTTCAAAGGCGGATATTGCCAATTTCCGTGCGACCACAAGCCTACCCAAAACCACGGTCTAAATATACATCAGACTGGGAGAGAGTCCCACCGCTTGGGAAGACGTAAGTCGAAACAAAAAAAAATCTCGAGAGAGACGAAAGTCCAGAGAAACAAAACAACGTAGGAGATTGCGGAGCGCGTATCCTGAGTGTTGTCGCGAGCGTCGTCACAGCAGGAAGAACAAGTAAAAAGCAAATTATGCCTGAACACAGACTGGGCTGGAAAAGAAGCCTGTGTATCTAACGGAAACCCGTCGTGCCTGCCACTCTTGGTGTCCCCTTTTCCCGTACAACGTGTCGCGTGCTTTTTGCGCTCCGATCATGAGCAGTTCGGGACGGCGTACGCGGCTTCCGAGTGCGTAAAGGTCTTCGACGGGCGATTTTTCGGCGGCCGCAAGCTGTCGTGCCACTTCTGGGATGGAGTGACGAACTACACGATCAAGGAAGAGGACGAGAAAGAAGAGGTGCGGTACAGTGAAGTAAAGGCGGGCTGTTTTTGCTCGCAGCTTCTTAACGCAGCTATTTAATAATAGGGCCCTTGTTGTTGGGATGTTTTCTTGTGTTGTGGTTTCGTCCCACCCTCTCTGAAGAAAGCTACATTCTGTTGCAAAGATATCAACGACGATATCAACCGTAAGAGAGGGTGCAGCGTTGGTGAAAGACACAACAAAATGACACAACGATGAGCTGTGCCCCAGACAGAGTATTACAGGTTTCGTTAATAAGAAGCAGATTCAAGGCGCTGGCCGACCCTCCTGAACTCGGCCAAACTGCGATATCGCTGCTTCGGGACTGCGTGCTGAAGATTTGCCACACTCGGCGTGTTCTCGTCCAGCAGCACACGCCACCGTTCGCAACGCCCTGAGCCCTCTTTATTTACCGACAAAATGATTTACGTGCCGCTCTCACGTCGTTCAGCTTTCTCAGACCCGTGCGCCATTAGAGCTATGTTTGCCCCCCGCCCTCCTCTACTAACACAAGTTTGCCATATCTGATTCCGATTGGCTGGACGCGGTTCAGGCCCAGCGATTGGACGCTTTCGGTGATTGGCTGGAGGAACAAGAGCTTCCGGAGGAGCTTCGGCCACGAACAGAAGCGTGAAAATCTTCATCTTTAGGAAGAAAATGGGTGTGGAAATTGGGACGAGGTTCGTCCAAACCAGAACCCTTATGTAGAAGTAGCAGCGGCGCGCGTGTTTCTGTGTAAAGAGCATGCTGTGTTTTGCATGGTGCGGGGAGAGTCTATAGAGCTGCCCAAGGAAACGTGGTGTTGTTTTAGTGTTTTTGGTTGTGTTGACGCGTTAGGAGGTTGGGAGGGGAAGGTGGGTGGCAGTGCCCCCCCCCCCTGCCACGTCCAGAAGACTTGTTGTATAGAAGGATGGCGAGAGTGCAAGTATGTAGTAGCGACAGGAGCGAAAGAAGCAGCGTTGTGCTGGTACACAACTCTGTTCGCACAGAGTAGCGGTCGCACCAAGTGATTCTCGTGTAGACAGAAAACGTGAAGAAGAGAGGGGAGGTGATACGGCGGTTTTTCGATTTTTCTCGACCGCCGGCTCCTTTTCCTCAAAACGCAAATCTGCCGTAGTAGTTTCTCTGTTGTTTTTAGTCAGAACCAATGTCGTGGACGAGGTCTGTGTGCATCATCAACATGCTGTCCCTCCGGCACAGGCTCGGGTTGGTCGAATGCCGTGCAGCAGTTTCAAGCCCCTGGGTGGACTAAAGACTACTCATGGTTGAAGACATCCAAAGCGGCCAAGGCAAGGCTTCCTTTTCTGCCCGAATCTGCACTACGGGGATTCAACGTACAGCAGTATTCTCGTGCAGTGGGACCCGTCTGGGTCCACCACCGAGTTTTGCAGAATTTTCTTGCCTTCAGCAACATGTACACAAGCCGGCCGGCATCTTGTTGCCACAATCGGTTTCGTCGTCCTGATCCATTCCCACGATCTGCTGCACATAAACAGGGCCCGACCTGTCCCCCCACTCACGTTGCGTTTTACATTGTTTCTGCCAACCAACCCCTAAGCTTCCGGGATGGCTTTAGTGTTCACCTCCGCTTGTTCGGGATATGACGGTCTAATAATTTCTACACTGCTTTTCTACACAAACAGTGGTCAACACGCCGAGACGGCACTAAGGGGGATACTGCAAAAAGACTGACATTCGAGACACAAAAAAGGGTGACAAGCAAATAGAACGCCCGACTGGTTCTGCATCGACAACCGATATGCAACACTGCCAAGCACAGACAAAACGCTTTGCACAGGACAGTCGTCCAACTGTTTCTACGTCACCCTCTGTACACAATGGCCTTGGCAATGTCCAAATCTGAATCGAAACGCCACCTATCTATACAAAATATGTACGTCCCCATGGGAGACAGGACTACCCGAGCAACGTTTCGTGAACGATGAGAGCTACACCGTCGTACTTCTATATTCTTGACTGTCAGGCCAATGCTGCAACGAATGTACGTGCATCGTCTTTGTTCCTCGGCTACCGCCATATGCGGTCGTTCGATCATCGACGCCAAGACAAGGGAAAAACATCATCAATTCATCCATTCATTCGCACCCCCAAGACAACTGACCGGACAACATTAGAAAATGGAAAAAATCACCCTATTTTAGCCCTTGCCTACCCCTTGCCTCTTGCTCACCCACCAAGACAAAGACCAATGTCAAACCGTTCTCATATTTTGGTTCTCGGTTTTTCCTGCGCTCCTGTCATGCCACGGTCGCTACGAACGATAGGCACCCGATCTGATCGCAATAAACATGCTGCATACATTTCAGGACGGGGGAAAAAAAAGCACAGGCAGTCCTCTAGACGGGGCAACCCGTGGGGATAGCTTGTTATGGGCGGTTATCTCACTATTTACCTACTAAATTTGCAGAGAGAGACCGTACAATACTGGTGCCAGCACTCGACGTCAGTATGTATAATCCGTTACCGTGAATCCTGAAAAACATATTTGTCAAAAGAGTACAGGAAATCCTATTTACTCGGGGTGGTAGTCAGTAAGAGGCCAAAAGATAAAAAGCGTTGTAGTAACGCTTACTGCATCCTCATGAAATACAGGAAGGACTCCCACCCAATGACTCTGGCCTTCCCATGTAAGAGGTTACATGCTACAACCAGCGCCTGTTCCTTGAACAACGCACCATACTCAACGTGGGGAATCAATCCACACTGGGGCCCACGTCTCTATGTACTGTACCCTCCTCTTCAACCCCCTCCTCCCTACCTGCTCAAACTGTACATTATTACATGCCAAATCATGATACCACCACCCTAGCCAACCGGCTGCCCACGCCACCCTCCCACGCGGAGATACTTCAGTGAGATAGCGCCCGCGTCAAGGATGTCGTCGCGATATAGCAGAGGAAACACCTGGCCGTCTCCCTGCATCCCTGCCCTTGTCGGTGCGTGAAGGTTGCACTGCAACCAACCGTCATCGCTCGGCGTAGGTGATCGCCGTAAGATTCTCGGAATCCCGTCCGCTAGGCGTGGTGTGGAGCAATAGCCCTTGGCATCCTTGCGTGCCTGGAGGTATTTCAGAGAGGGGTGGAAGTAAAGAGAGTTGGGGAGCAAAATACACCAACGCCATGTAAGAAAATGTTAAGCAACATCGACCACTCCCAACCGCAGCACAGAGTCACGGCACGACCAACTAGAGGTCAACCACACAATCAAGAAGTTAACTATGAGCAGCCTGGGTGTACGTAAAAAAAAGGCGGTTCTTGGACAATCCTTGAGCAGACGTCCCGCTGCCATCGTGCGGCCGCAACTGCATTCGGCGCACTACGCACTACCCAATATATCCGGCAAGAGTACCAAAGACAACAAAACACTCAGAAATACGCTCACCTAGGATTCGAGTTTTGCGCGGAGCATGGCCATCATCTCCTTGAAGGGCTGGCCATTGATGTGCTGGTCCACGGCCGCCTTGCTCTTGAACATCCGCACGCCGGTGAGTTCGCAGAACACGAAACCGTCGTCGGCAGGGTCTTCCACCAGGAACATACCGTCGTAGTCCTAAATAGATCCATACCATTATTTTGTAGTTCCAGGAATTAAAAGCGGTTGTTGTTGCGGGGCATGGACGTTAACGTGTGAAAACAATTCTGCTGATGCAAGCAATTTTACAACTGTAGCAGTGTGATCAGCTTTCAATTGCTGCTCGCTATGGCTGAGAGGGGAGGGGGGGCGAAGTACATCGATGTCATTTGCTTGTCAGCTTATCCACGTCATCTCTTGGACCCGGTGGTCAAAGAGGGCAAGGAGCACGTCTTTCGCGCCCACTAAAACAATTGCTGCGCGGACAAAGAACGCTTCATTTTTCCATGCGTGGTCGAATTGTGAATGATTGTACATGTTTCACCAGTCCTGCTACATAGTTCATGAAATTCTCGAGTCAAAACTGACCTCGCAGCATGGGGTGAGATACAAAACCGGTGTCATTTCCACTGGTCGGTTTGCCCTCCAGGTGTTCCTTGCTTTCCCAAGTCCTGCAGCGACACAACGTAAATAGGCCCCCGCCCCCGGTCAAGGCCCGGCTACGATTGGTTTCCATCCACCATCGCACGAAAAAAGAAAGAACGAGCGCACCTGCCCCACCGCCCGCGCTTGCGTCAGCATTCGGCTCCTTACAACAGGTGACAACACAACACAGAGGTGTGGGGGCTTACCGACATGGATACGGGTCCTTCAACGACGAGCTGCTGCACCCTCCTGCTGCCCATGTACTTGAGGATGCCTATGTAGTCCGGGGCCAGCTTCTTGCCCGTGAGGGTGCACAGCACGGTCCTCTCGTCGTCCTCGAACCGAAGGTACTTGCTTCCCTCCACGAGACTCCTGGTTTCTTCGTCCACGACCAACCCGGCATGCCCCGGCACGGCGACGGTCCTCTCCTCGCCGAACCCGACGTCCGCCGCCGCCTCTAGTTTTCCCGCAGCTCCAGGCTCCCCGGCCACGCGGGGCGCGTTCTCCGTCACGACAGCGCATCCCTGTGACACCGGAGCGATGTCGGCTTCGGCCTCAGGCTGCGATGGCATCACCGACGCCTCGGGGTCCTCCTCCTGCGGTGGCAAGAGCGGAGCGAGGTCACCCTCGTTCTGCGGAAGCACAGACGGCATCGGATCATCGTTTGTACGACTGTGTTCTTCTTCTCGCTCCTCCTCCGGCATCACGACATGAGCAGGAGAAGCCGATTGAGTGGTACCGGAAGCAGAACCAGTTTCTTGAACCAGAACCACGTGTTGCTGTTGTTCGTCTTCTTCCCCCGATGCTGGCTGCATGACCACCTGAGGGGCTGCCTGAGCATCACCTGACCCTTGTTTGGCAAGGTCGGCGGTACAAGCACCGGCCTCGTTCACCTGCTGTTGCTCATCCTGCCCTTCGTCGGGAGCAACTACCGCGCCCTGCGACCGGGTTTCTTCCTGCCTTTCTCCCTCGGACCGCAGAGAAGATGCCGGGTTATCGTCACGCTCCTCCTCCATGTGTGCCGGTTCTGTAGAAACCGCGATTGCTACTGAAGCTCCCAAGAACACATGGTTTTCCTTTTCTGGGATAGTTATGATTGTCACCACGCTTTCGTCTTGTTTCATGTCTGCCGAAGGCAATTCAACAACGTCCTTGGGTTGGCCGTCCGCCGCCATGTTTTCATCATCCTTCTGCTGCTGCTGCTGCTGCTGCTGCTGCTGCTGCTCTGAGTCCTCCTTCCCCCCAGCAGCAGGAGCAACGACAGAAGTTCCAGCGAGATCATCACCTTCCGTAACGTCCACAGCAGCAGTAGTGTGCTCCATCGTTTCCGGCGCGCAAGACTCATCTTCCTCCTCCTCGACGAAGAGCTTTGCCTTCACGACTGTTCCGCGCGGCAGAGCAGACACCTCTTGAAGACGAGGGTTCGCCGCCACCACCATCATGCTTAGTCGCCCTTGCACTGCCGCCGCCGTCTCTTGCCCCGGCTCCTCCTCCACTGCTGTTGTTACCGCTGATGTACTCTCTTCGGAGGCGACATATTGTGTCGTCGTCTTTTCTTCAGAGACCGGCATGCCAGCAGCAGCAGCAGCAGCGACAACTTCGCTCGTGCCATCCTCGTTGGCCGCCGCCGTCGATGATTCGATCGAGACATCGTCGTCCTGGTTGAGCTTGAGGCCAGCTGAACCGAACGGCGAAGCAGCCGGCGACACCTTCGGCTCGGGCGCAGACGCTGATGCTTGCGGGACAGCAGCAACGGCAGCATCCGAGGGCTTGCAGTTGTCGACCTGTCCCTTCTGGGCATCGGCGGCAGGACTGAAAAGAGGCTTGTTCTTGTGACTCGAGATCACCATCGGCGGATTCAACCTCGGGGAGTTGAGAGATAGTTGCCCGAGGGCCTTCTTGACCAGGCGGGGTGATGCCCCTGAAGATGCCAAGGTTTTGGTCTTTCGCGGGCCGGCGTGGGTGTCATTTTCTTTGCCGGACGGCTGGTGCTGAGGCTTTGCTGCTGTGGAATACTTTGGCTTCGGCACGGCATTCTCCTTCTGCTGGGCAGTGTTCTGTGAAACAGAAAGGTTGCGTGTGTCGCGTGGCGCAAGGGAAGCAGGTTGACACCAGAAACAACGTCGAGTGTAAACGAGTGCGTGCGATGTGGAATGGTTGTACCGCTGCACAATGAGCATTCACGACGCGCCGCTCCATTTTGCAATTGGCTGCGTGTGCACACAACACCAGCACGTGCTTGCCCACCGCGCCGAACCACCTCACACATCACGTACAGGTGCGCAGTTTGATTGCAGTCGTTGTTAGAGGGGCGAGATGAAGACGCCGGGAAGCATATGTGACAGCAGTTGAGAGTATATTACCTGGGCCCGGAGTGGCAGTCGGGCCTGCTCTTTCCGCAACGTACGCGTTGGATTCTAGAAGTACATACGTTAGGTTTCCCGCTGCTCGGTCCCACCAACACCAACAACGACGATCAACACCTCTTCCCCGCAACTGGCCTAACTTGGAAAGCCCCGCAACCGATGCCCAGTCGGAGTGTGGTTTCAACAGTGCATCAAGCTAACCGAGCGCCCTCGGAGTGCGGTGTCTGTCTGTATCGTCACCTGCCCTTGGAGACGTGAAAGAATATCCTGTTTTTTCCCTCCCGCGTTTAGCCCTCTGCTCTTGGCCATTTTTTGCAGCTGGCGGTAGGAAAACCGTTCGAAGTTCTCTGGCGGTACTTCCATCGTGATGTGGTGCGTGTGTTCTTTGCTGCTAGCGTGTACGGGCGTGGGGATTGGTCCTCGTGATCTGTTTCGCGATAATCGCCGCGGGCGGGGTGGCCCGTGTGTTGTCCGTTGGTGAATTAAAAACAGATCAGTTAATCCGTTGGTGGAACTCCCGGTCCGCGCGCGGACCACGTGCCGGTTCGGACAGCGTTGATCTCTTTCGCTCTTTGAGCCGCCGGCACGATCAAGAAATCGAGCACGCTGTGGGCGCGCCAGTAGGGCTTGTGGGGCAAAAAAACAGCGAATCGACAAGGAAGAACACAGTTGCTGGGCGAAATGGATATCCTTGACCAGAACCTGGACGTCGGTGAAACATTCTGGGGGAGGGTAAGCACCCTGGAGCTGGGAAGCACATGCGGCGGGACTTTTGGAGATGGGTGTTCATGTTCATGTGCCGTGTCGAAGCTTGCAAGACAACCTATTGTACTGCTGTAGTTGTAAGCTTCTTGCGGCAGAAAGTTCCTAATAGAGCTTCGTACTACGCGTGTTGGATGGCAGGTTTTTCATGCACAAAGCCAGCACCCGGCATCCAAGAAGACCGACTTTCCGATCAAGCACGAATTCGTCGGATGGGAATATACTCGCCACAACGACGGTAGGAGCTACTCCAGAGAGAACTCCGATGGCGTGGAGGTTCTTCCTTCTGGAGCTCTTCGCGTCCACCAGGTAGCGGTGTGCTGAGAAACAATAGAGCTTGCGACTATAAGAACACTGATATGCACAGACTTTGGAACCTTGGGTCACACCAAGAAGGAGACGAACACGCTCTGATCGAAATGTGAAATTGTACACTCTGCTTGTCACCCAACGGCAACGACAAGGCAACCAATGACAACGAGGCCTGCAAGTAGTTGGGTTCCGAATTTGCAGTCCCTTGTCCCATGGGGCTTTCTCATCCAGCGCGATTGCTCAAGCTCGAACCTTGGGGACTCCGGATCAACAGCGGGAAATGAAGCATTCTGTAGGCTATAACAGACCACCGATGACATGCGTGCCCTTTATTTATGTGCTGTAAAATTGACATGCCTACTTGAATAGCAAAACTCACTCTATCAAACTTCCATTTTCAACGCCCGGTGTTTGTGTATAACTCTGGGAGAAGAAGGCAATGTTCCTGAAAGGGCTTTCTACGACCCGGTTCCACCAAGGGTTCCAACGGCGGAAGCAGTCGAATATCAGGCAGGATGAGTCCAGACTGCAAAGAGAGGCCTTGAAGCAGCACATGAGTGTGCTCCACCTCGAAAGACGGCGGCAGAGACTTGGCAGTCTCGACAAGCGTAATGGTTTTAACCTCATAACGGGACAGTTCGACGCCAATCGTCGATGCACGACACCGTTCCATGTGCAGCCTAGGACGGTGAGTCGATACTCCACGCCGAGCGTATGTGGCACTACAGTAGGAACACAGCCGCAAACGTGTCCCACCGAATTAGGACGTGCTGATACACGCAGTGCAATACCCAAAAGTCGACCAGGAGCGTATTTCCCGCGGAACGATCGTGATGTTGGTTCTGTACTACAACTGTGTAGCCTGCCAGCGACGAGAAAGGTACAACTGAGAAACGGCGCCACTGGGACGTATACAGCGGCTGAACCCGAATCTTTCAATTATCGCGAGAGCCTTGTGGCGTGCCATTCCTTCTCCTCAACTACATGACATGTTGTCACTTTTTTCGCAGAGGGAGACGGGGTCGTTGTCCGAAGTAGCGGAGCGCGCGGAATACCTTCTCCTCCGTGATTCGGAGTACAAATTTCACGCACCTGCCTGGAGGTGAGCCGTGTGGTTGGCGCATGCTGCTGTGTAGCACGTGGGTTGGCTACTCCTCTAGGTCATTTGATCCGGGACTGGCCTAGTGTAGCGACGACCCCTCGGCAGCCGTTGTTGCCTCTACCGTCTACCAACATCTAAGGAACGGTGTACACACACACGACAAGGGCTGATATTCTAAACGATCGCTCTACTGTATCACCTCTAATGTCTGGAAACTCCCCTGGCCATCTCGTTCTGCAATCCTCAAACAATCTATTTATTGCCCCGTTTGATGATGACTGCAGCGGCAAGAACCACGACGAGCGCCAGGATCTCCTGCAGCGAGAGGGCCTCAACAAGCCCAAAAAGTCCACCCTCCTCGGGGTAGGAACTGCCGATCTCGCGTCGGCAGGTGCCAACGACATGTTTTCGAAATCGATATACGACCCCGCTAAGACGTGCGCCGTCGAGGGTCTAGTGGAAACGTGCTTCCCAGGGCGCTACACGCCGCGCAAGGTGACCTCGGCTCGACGGGCGGCGGCCGCATCACGCGACGATACTCCTCCGCTAAGGCAGGGACAAGAAAAAAGTGGTCAACGGTCGTGCTCGTCGCCAGGTGCCTTGGACACCGTGTTTCGAGTCGTCCCGAACGGGCTCGGAAACCACAGCACCGTTGGGGGTCGAGGTGGGGCGACTGTTGCCGGGATCGCACCCTGCAAACGGCTCTGCGGGTCGCGCAGCACCCCGACCATACGGAGCCCGGAGAACAAGGCGGAAGTGGGCACAGGCACACCACTCCGTAAGTCTTCCCCCATGCGATCGCCAAGTCCGGGAGGTGGTAGCAGAAGGCACACGGGTAGTGGGGGAGAAGGTGGCCGGGGTGCTGGGTCGGTTTTTGCAGAGAGGCTTCTCTCCGCTACAAGCGGAAGCGCGAGGAGGGGGAGCCGCGGACTGACTCGTTCGCATTCGGACTTTGGAGGGAGCAGCGGCAGGGGGCAGACTCAAGGGGTAGCAAGAGCCACGACAGCAGGAACGGAGGGCTTCGTGAAAAAAACGGCTTCTCCTGAAGATTGTACGCGACGGTCCCCGGGTGAGGGCGGGCCGGGGTCAGCGCGCTTGTCAAGAGGACAGAGCCCGGCGGAGCGGAGAAGCAACGACCAGCTGACCTTGGACTTGGCTACCATCCGATCCCTGTAGAGCCTTTTCCAGCAGGCGGTAGTAGCCTGCAGTGTTTTCTTCTCGTCTGCAGAGCGTGCCAGAGATGCCTGATGCCTGACTTGTAATTGCACTCGGTATGCGATTTTCTCTGGAGACCCGCGTCCTGCCTGTTGAACATCGGAGCATGATTTTGTCAACTACTTTCGCGACGCCCCCCCCCCTAGAAACGTTTTGTTCCCGGGAATTGGGGGTAGTGGTTGTCGAAAACAACCGGAAAGCCCCCTCTGCCCGGAGAAGGATTGCAGCAGTTAAGTAGCTCACGCTCTAACCAAGGAATCAATTAATTATCCGCCGTGTGTGTAAGCAGAGCCAAGCAGAGCTCATGAGGTTCGTGAACGTAAAGTCCTGCCTGAGGAGATGGGAGGGAAAGACGGGTGTGCGTGCCTACGACAGGTGGTGGTTTATGCAGGGAACAGCACTGGCAAGACGATTTGTGCAAACAGCGGGGGCAAAACAACACTTGCCATAAGGTACTGGAGGTACCTTTTACGTAGGGATGGAAAGGGCGATCCGTCTCGAGAGGCGAGAGGAAAGCGTGTTCCCGTGGTAAAAATACCCAGGTACACAGGATGCCGCGCTCCGTGCCCTTTCAAACTTAAAAACACTCCCCGCTGGTTTGTCGTTTGTGTCTCTTCGGTGCTTTGGTCGTCGGAATACATCAAAATCCACCGCTCGGGGACTTGAACAAACGTGCTGAAGAGGTATCTTGTCACGTCATTCGTAGGTCGCGTTTGTGTGTGAGTTCAACTTAATTTCTACGACTTTTCCGAGAGTGTCCAGCAAGGGTGGTGGTTTCAGAACAACCCCTGACGCTTCCCCAACTGGAAGGGTTCATCCCCGGCGGACTTGGGTCTACTGGAACAATGTCCTTGTCCTGACCCAGGATTCGCAGAGGTTGTTATAGTACAGAAGGACAAAGGGTCATCACCCCCCCGTGCGATCGCTGAACTCACTTCCTAATTATATACCCTAAACCTCAACATTGCAGCAGCATCGCCACAACAAACAACCTTGGCGAAATAGGCGCCCCTACTCGCCGTCTGGGCTCCAACAAGCCGTCCATCGGGTTGCCTGCTAGGTCTAGTTTCGCTATCCTACAAGGGCACCGCGGTGAAAACCTTTCTCGCGGACCACAACGGGACACCTACCGCACAGCTCGCGCACAGCTCACGAAGAGAGCGGACAGGTCTCTGACAAACTAAGCGCCATACTATTTTTCAAATACAACAAGCGCTTCCGACACACCGGGTCGAGTACGATACACACACCAACGTTCAAGCTGAGTTCTGTTCTTCTGCCGGAAGGCAAGACAAGAGGCCAGAACAACCCCCAACCCTTAACGCAGCTACGGAACACCGACGCCAGGCCACAAAAGTCGAAAAAAAAACGCCCAAAAGTTCAGCGCAACAACAAGGATGGCGGTAGCGCGGCGGCGGCCGCCGTGGTGGCGGCGAGGGCGCTAGATACCTTTGGGGAAAAAAAAAACACAAAAAAGCAGACCCAATGTAACCCCGCGAGCTCAACTTGAACGGCTTTTACCAATGTACAATCGTTGGACCCGCAAAAAGTGCATACCCAGGCCCTAGGACGGGAATGCCACGAAAAAAAACAAGACAAAAAAGACAAACGATCGTGGCCACCCTTTCTTTCTCGTTGCGACGACTTGTCCAAGGCTTCGCGCGGAGAAGCCCCTTTCCCGCCACCCGCTCAACGCCCTTCCCAATCAGCTCACCACGCAGCAGCTGTTCGTTTTCCTCGCTTGCTTGTAGAACATCTTGGATTGTCGGCTCAAGTCGTCGGATCGGTCCACGAGCTCATCCAGCCTTACCCCTCTCTCCAACACGTTGTCGATGGTTCGGTGCTGCCGTTCACAACCGGCAGTGTTGTTACGTCGACCACGAACGCGAGCGTGAACGTTGGTTACGGGGGGCGTCTTCGTTGTGGGTCTATCCACTTTCAATTCCATTTTCACTTTCCACCAGGCGTGAACAAAGCTACTGGCACGTTCCGTGTCAACCAGGTAACCCGTGCGGTCCGGCCACGCTCTTTGTTCAGTGGAGACCAAAATCCGTGCGAAGTATCTCATATATCCCTCTGTGGCTCGAACCGGGAGTTAAGACCACAATGCAATAAGCGCTTCCAATCGAAACAGGTGTTGTGTGACACAAAACGGTATTGCGCCGCCAACACGTAGGTGTTGACCCTAGACACGACGAACGATACTGTGGGGGTTAGTACAGACACAGTGGCCATGACGGCAAGCTCGTCATCTCACCAGCACTTCGGTCGTCTCGTCCAAATCGCGCTGAATCTTGGTGATCTTGTCCGCCTTCGCCGGGTCCTGTTAGGATGTTTGAACAAAAAACATCAGCGGACGGACAGAATCACAACGTCTCAGAACAAATCGCCCCCCCCCAATCAACGCGGTTCTTTTGACAGCTCACGAGTGGAAACAGAACATTAACCATCTCAAGGGCTACTGAACAAACATATTTCAACGACAGCCACCCCGACACACCATTCCCATATACCGTATAGTAGCGCGGAAGAAACCGCGTCGGGAATAAGCACGATCGTGAAATCACTATTACAGTACTGCTCTAAATCGTCACCAGGGACGAGAACGTGCGGGGCTACTGTACTGAACGGCCGCGCAAGAACAGGCCACGGTCCGCTGGTAGTACGGCATTTTTCCCCCGTGCGCCCGCAAGGGTGCGGGCGTAGCCAGAGAACTAGGTACAGAAGCCCAGATACACGGCCAAATGCCGTTCGCCGCTGTGGTGTCAGTCACACTGCTCTTCCTACCTGGTAGTCCACAATCATTTTGTCCATCGGAGGGAATCGAATGGCCTCGTGTCTGATCTCGGACTGCCACGAGACCTGCTCCGCGTACTGCTCCAACAGCTGAGGGAAAAAAGATAACACAAACATAGCGAGGGTGTCAAGAGCACCCACGGCGAGAGGGAGAACGGGGCGCGACTCATTAGATTACGTGTCCGGAGAGCCAATGCGTGCCACAGAGGAACCTAGGCGTTGGGCTCTTGCTGCCACCGCTGCGACTACCAAGGCAAGGCCTTCGGGTGGAGCTGTCGAATAAAACCGGGCGTAATCAATCGTCACACTGTACTCACACAAGCAGACAACTCACTCACGCATTGTATCTTGTTCAGTCGTCCCAAAACTCGAACTCGTGCCCCCAGTCAAGCCTTTTGATCGCTAACAATGTTTGCTGGCCTGGGAAGGCATCACCTACACACGGCGGTACACAGCAAAAATAAAACACACATACACACAACTGTCGGTAGAACCCGTACGCTTTGATTACAAACCGTCCTTGTGTGTTATCCCGCTACAAGACTGACGTCTCTTCATTGGTCAGTCGGTTAGAGCGGCCGATGCTAATTAAGAAAACACACACACACACACGCATACACACCGATCCCCAACTCCGCTCACCTGCGTGAGCAGCACGAACGCGACTCGTGGTGGGTACTCGAGATCCGCCGTTACCGTCCCCGCCAATCCGTCTTGCCGCATGTACACGTGCACGTTGTAGTCTACGCGTGCAGTGGCAGTAGATCGCCCACGGTAGTGTTATGCCGATGTCACATCATCGTGGGAGGGGAACCGGGGGGGGGGGTGTACTCATAGTCGTGCATGCCGTAGTCGTTAGACCATTGACCTCGCATCCCTACAAAGCCGGGACGGAGCACGCCGGGTTCTCACCGGACCAGGCTCTCACATCACCAAGCGCGAAGCGCCGTGAGGTATTCGGCGAGTCGCAAGAAGCGCATCCTGTTAAGGGTGTTCGGCATCATGTGCTTACTTCCTTGCGTACGGATGACAGCTGCGTATGACTTATTTATTTTCTGGTGCTTTCACTTCCAGAGACAGTTGGAAGCGCTGTGTAACTGCCTCGAGGGTGCTTGACCATTTTAACACAACGTGGTGCGATCATCCCCTTTGCGCGGAGTGAGGGGGGGTCATTCGTTGCGTGTTTGCCGCTGCGATACCTGGAGTGCGTCAGTCGCTGGCAAATAGAACGGGTTCGCTTGGCGCAATTTGCCACCCTACATCTACATATCCTGTCTAACGGATTCTTCGGCTATTGCGTGACGGCGAAATGTGCGAAGCACCAGGGGGAGGGAGTGCACTTCATGTAAACGCACGTCGAAGTCGGTAGACCATTGACCTCGCATCCCTGCAATGCCGGGACGGAGGCATGTGCCGGGTTTTCGCCGGCTCAGGCTACGTTTCACGAAGATGAACCAGAAGCTGGCCACCATCGTTGCGTTGGCTGTGCCAAACCGGATATGCCATGGGTCGATTGGGCATCGCGACCACCCAAACACAACATTTCCCATTGGGCAGGCACGACTTTTCTTCAAGTACCGCAAGGGACTTCGATCTTTGCGCGCTTGCACACAACAGGCGCGCCACACACAGCTAACCCGCCGCTTCGTGTGTGATACACTTGGGGAGTATAATCTGCTAATACACTTGAGGTGGATTCTCTAAGATGGGTTTAGGGCGATTCACCTACCCAGTGTTCAGCGGATGTCCTATAGTGTGAACTTTAGTACCAAAGCCCACAAGCTCACAAGACATGCCGCAGAAACAACCCTCATGCCCTAACAGCAGTTTTACAGCTCGATGTCACAAGCGCGCCGTGGTGGCAGTTCATCCCACCTTCGTGCTGTACGCTCTGCCGCTGCCCCGGTTGCGTGCGCTTAACGATGGTCTTGCTGAAGAAAGTGCACATCTCCTTGATTCTGCGACGCCCCGTAGCAATAGCAAGCAGGTGCGTGAGGCAGAATTTAGTACCACGACAGGCGACCGGCGTTTGGTTCTTGCACTCAGCCAGATTTTATGTAAGTGTCGAGAAGGTATCCGGAGTACAGTAAATAGTGCACAAAAAGTTCTGAACGCATGCAAGAACATGTCTACCTGCCAACGCATGACTGCTTGAGCAAAACTCT